CTTGCAGTTTCAGACCAGTAAGTACCTAACTTCAGTACCAGGCAAATTGATTAAAACTATAGTAAAGAACACAATGATCAGACATACAGATGAACACAATATGTTGGGGGAAGAGTCAACACGGCTTTTGTAAAGGGAAATCATGCCTCACCAATCTATTAGAATTCTTTGGGGATGTCCTCAAACATGTGGAGAAAGGTGATGTAGTGGACATAGTGTACTTGAACGTTCAGAAAGCCTTTGACAAGGTCCCTCACCCTTAAGCAAAGTTAAGCTGTCATGGGATAAGAGGGAAGGTCCTCTCATGGATCAGTAACTGGTTAAAAGATAGGAAATAAAGGGTAGGAATAAATGGTCAGTTTTCACAGAGGAGAGAGGTAAATAGCAGGGATCTGTACCGGGACCAGTGCTGTTCAACATGTTCATAAATGATCTGGGAAAAGGGGCAAATAGTGAAGTGGCAAAATTTACAGATGATAGAAAATTACTCAAGGTAGAAAAGTCCAAAGCAGACTGCGAAGAGTTACAAAGGGAATCTCGCAAAACTGTGTGACGGGGTAACAAAATGGCAGATGAAATTCAGTCTTGATAAATGCAAAGTAAGGCACATTGGAAAATATAATCCCAACTATCCATGCAAAATGATGGGGTCTGATTAGCACTCAAGAAAGAGTCATTGTGGACAGTTCTCTGCAAACATCTGCTCAGGGTGTAGCAGCAGTCAGAAAAACGAACAGGATGTTGGGAACCATTAGGAAAGGGATAGGTAGGTAATAAGACATAAAATACCAGAATGCCTCTATATAAAGCCATGGTACGCCCACACCTTGAATACTGCAGGCAGTTCTGGTCATGCCAGCTCAAAAATATATATTAGAATTTGAAAAAAAAAACACCAGAAAAGGGCAACAAAAATGATTAGGGGTGTGGAACAGCTTCCATACAAGGAGAGAGTAAAAAGACGGGGGCTGGTCATCTCTTAGAAAAGAAACAACTAAGGGGAGAGATGACAGAGATCTATCAATCATGACTGGTGTGGGGAAAGTGACGAGGGAAATGTTATTTACCCCTTCACGTAACACAAGAACTATGGCTCACCCAATGAGATTAATAGGCAGCAGGTTGAAAACAAACAGAAGGAAGTATTTCTTCACACAACGCACAGTCAACTTGTGGACAGAGGCGGATTAAGCTTTTATGGGGCCCTGAGCCAGAGCAAGTGGGGGCCACTCCCCACCCCTTCTGCCTGCAGTCCCTCCGCCACCGTGCTCCTGCTGGAGAAATGGGGTCGGGGCGTGGGGGGGCTTCCCCCGCCCGCCCGGCGATCCTGCCAGGGAGCGGGGGAAGCCTCCGTGCCCCGACCCTGTTCCCCGGCAGGAGCGCTGGGTGAGTGTAGCAGGTCGGGCCATAGGGATGCCCATTTTCCTAGGGCCCCCCCAATTGACCAGGGCCCCTGGGCACAGGCTCTGTTGGCCCAGTGGCTAATCCACCCCTGCTTGTGGAACTCATTGCCGGGGGATGTTGTGAAGGCCAAAAGTATAATTGGGTTTAAAAAAAGAATTAGATAAGTTCATTGAGGAAGATCCATCGATGGCTATTAACCAAGATAGCCAGGGACACAACCCCTCGCTCTGGGTGTTTCTAAACCTCTGACTGACAGAAGCTGGGACCGGGCGACAGGGGATGGATCGCTTGATAAATTACCCTGTTCTGTTCATTCCCTCTGAAGCACGTGGCACTGACCACTCTCAGAAGCTGGGCTAGATGGACCATTGGTCTGACCCAATATGGCCGCACTTATGTCTTATGTTCTTAAGTCATTATTGGAACTAGGTAGAAACTTTCTAGCTCTTGATTCTTTGGGGCTGATGCTGACTTTCACGAAGAACTCCTCTGCCCGGCTCTGGTAGCACAAAGGGGCCTCTGAGTAGGCGTACATAGCCAGAGAGGTGTAAGAGCCTGAGTGTGAAGCCTCTTTCTTTCTTCTTTAATGCAGATAGGTTTGATTCTTCAGTATCGTCTCCCCCAGTGATAACTTTTCTTAGTGGCCTTTCCAGATTGTCCTTGAATTAATTCCAGAGGACGCCCTCCTGTTGATGCGTGTAACGTATGTAATTCACCCTCTCGAATGTTTGTTTAAAATATTTCCCCTAGACATTATTTATAGAAGGGTCAAACGAAGCCGCGCCAATGTCCTTTGGTTTGAAAAGGCCATTTTTGACTTTTCTCTAATGGGCTTTTAAAAACCTGTAATAAAACATCGCTGCCTTCTGTGTGGCGATTCCCCTCCCCCCCCCCCGCTCCTCCCAGCCTTTGATTTCTAAGAAGGCTGTGGGTCCTTTCTGCTCGAAACATAGTCTGGGCAGAGATGCTACGGAGGGGAAGGATGGTCCAGTGGTTATGGCCTATTGGAGACAGTGAGAACTTGATCTAACCCAAAGCTATCTATACTTGTAACGCAGGGAGTGCCAGACTGGCTCAGAACCAGGGTCCATCTGACACCGTGTCCCATCCCCACCATCTGCTTCAGAGAATGGTACACTAGCCTCTGCAGTGATGGGATAATCTGCACCCAGGGGATGTTTTCCTCCTGACCCCATCAATTCGAGGTTGGTTTTGTGCCCTGAAGCATGAGGGTTTACAGCCTTTGGGGCCTTTTTAAATCCCTGTTATCATACCCTTGAATAGTCTTTTGTGTCCTATCACTGTCCCATCACTCTGGAGTTCAGGCTGTTCGGCATCTTGCTAAATTAGGTCCTAATAGAACAGCCCAAGGCCTCTATTGGCCGATAATTGTTCTTTGGTGGTGTGTGTGTGTGTCATCATTTCTGTGGCTCTCAGTCCAGCCAGTACCTAGAAGCACAGTAGGTCTGAATTACTGCCAGAGAAGACACCAGTGACGCATCGTCCAAGTCTGTGGAACTGGCCGCGGGAGCAGCTGGGTCTGACATTGGCTGAGTACCGGGGTTGCAGTTGATTGCACGGATGAAGCAATCTGTTGGTGTTATGGAATGCAGATAGTCCTGCATCTGCTGACTTGCATCCTCCGCTTGGCAAAGGTTTTGCACTGAATCCAACCACTACACTGTTCTCTCTTCTCTTCTTTCTGGGTTCTTGTACCGCCCCTCAGCACCATCCTATCCCAGCCCCTTCCAGTCGCGCATTGAACAACAGGTCTAACATTGGTCTTGGGTCGTTCATTCTCTCATCCTCACACCAGCGGGAGAGTTTTGTGTGCATGGTGGGGTGATTTATTTTGGTAGGGTCTCCTTTTTTGGAATGCACTGCTGTGTATTTATATTAGAAAAGGCAGGTCAGAGACGCGCACGGTGCACTTAGATCAGCCCTCATCCCATGACTTGAGGTTCTTAGAGATATGCAGGGTGACCCCGGGCACGTACGGGACGGGCCACCGGGTGATTCCCGGGCCTGGCCTTGTGCACAGCAGACAAGATCTCCGAATCTCCCTTGGCTAAAACGGCTTCTCTGTTACCGTGCATCTCCCCCAGACATCCCCGGGCTTCCTAGCTCAGGACACCTGTGTTCCGGCTGCCCCACCGGCCAGTGCCCGAATCGTGCTCTGGGGAGGTTTTTAAAGCCGTCTTCAAGCGCTCAGGAGACGGAGAATAACAACTAAACAAACAATTAGGCTATTGTGGCTCCCGGCTGACAACAGGCACGAGGGGTGGAAGATTGCTGCGTTCAGCTTGATTGTTCCCAGTGGAGCCTGCCCCCAGCAGCAGTTGCTGAACAGATGGATAATAAGATGATGACTTCCTAATGGGATACGCTTGGTACAGAGAAAAGTGTTTGCAAACCCCACATTGTTCCCCTATTAGGAACCCAAAATGGAGGCCCCGGGCTGTCAGTTTTGCAGCCCCCAGAGGCGATGGATTCAGCCTGAGCTGCAGCGCTGCAGCATCATTGGGAGGGGCAGCGTGGCCTTGTGGTTACAGCGCTAGACGGGGACCTGGGTGCTGTCCCATAGCTCTTGATTTTGTTTAGCGGCGTGAAATGTGCATGGTTTAGTGGGCAGGGGACTCAGGACATCTGGGTTCTATTCCTGACCTGCGCGGTGACCTTGGGCAAAGCACATCCCGCCTCTGTGCCTCAGTTTCCCCGCCCACCTTTGGTCTACTTAGCTTGTAAGCTTTTCAGGACAGGATCTGTTTCTCGCTCTCTGTCTGGGCAGAGCCTAGCACAATGGGCCCTGATCTCGGCAGGGCTTTCTAGATGCTATAATAATATTTCTTTTTTTAGGCTCTGTATCACTGTCCCACTCAATGGGGCTGGCTAATCGGGCTCTGTCGCCTGCGTAATGGGACACCTGGCCCAGCAGCTGACGACACCACTCATTGTTATATGCTCAGCACTGAACCCTGTAACCAATGCATTGAATGAAAGGTCCCCAAATCATAGCCACAAAACAGCCAGATCTGGGGTTCCGGTTCGGGCCACTCTCCAGAAAAGATCCAGTGATGCAGTTGAGACCCAAACCTCCCCAAGGGTCAGTGGCGTTTGGAGCTACGGATCTAGTCTAAGTACATCTCAGTGTGAGATCTTGCCCTCGTCTACGGTGACCAGACAGCAAATGTGAAAAATCAGGATGGGGGTGGGGGGTAATAGAAGCCTATATAAGAAAAAGACCCCAAAATTGGGACTGTCCCTATAAAATCAGGACATCTGGTCACCCTAGGCCTCGCTACGGTCCAGGTTCAATAAAGCATCCGCATGCAAGATTCGGGAATGGCACTTACACGCTTGCTTCAAGTTAAGCGCCCCTGGAATAACTCTCGCTCCCTGAATCTGGCTCCTTTACATTCTTTCCACCAAGGTAACATGTAACTGTCGCGGTTGGGCTCGATTTTTCCCGAGACACGTGCCCCATCCCACTAGGTGGGACCATCTGTCGCCACCGCCGGTGGCTGGCGAACAGACAGCTCGGCTGCCCAAATGCGCAGAGCCCCGGGGCACTCCAGCAAGAAGAAGAAAACCTGGAATGAATTCAGCAATCATCAGTTTTAATTATAACGCCAGCTCCACCAAAAAAATAAAATAAAATAAAAAAGTGGTGGGTTTTTGTTTTGTTTTGTTTGTTTCCAAAGAGAAATCCACAATCCACAGCAAAATATCTTTACAAAGGAGAAGGGGGAAATTAAAAAACAAAAGGAGACAGGGTGCGGGGGGGGGGGGGAGAATATACATTTTCATGTTCAAGGGGAGAACAGAAGAATTCAGGATATAATATAGGTTTATTTTATTTATAAATAGTCCATGCCTCAGGCCTTTTATTCCAAGGGGATTGGTAAACTTTACCCCTCCCCATCCCACCACACACACACACACACACACGCACACACACGGGCAATGAGATTGCAGGCTCAGCTTTGTGTGTGTTTTACCAAGCCATAATCCCCCTCCCCCTTTTTTTTTGACAACCCTCCTGCCCCCACCAAAAAGGGAGAGAGCAATTTGTCGCATGATCAAGGCCACTCCGGTAATGAGTCCTCAGTTCTCAGCTGCCGGATACCAAATGCTGATATAGTCAAAAGCCAGAGACAGGCTCGCGTGGGCTCAGCTGCCCAGCCGTCGGATTCGGTACGCGCAGGCTGCCGGGCAGCGGCAAGTCGTTGGGCGCTTGGAAGTCCCACGGGTAGGGTGCAGATTGTCCCTGGTTTGCAGAGTCCCCTCGCAGGCCGGGGTAGGAGGAAGGTCCAGATTTTTCCGTGCGTACAGGTCAAACAGAAGCAAACGAGTACAGGTAGCTGCATGATTAAATGTGGTTATGTCTGTGTCACACTGGTAGATTAAATCGGGGCTGGGACAGGGGGGCAAGTGGGAATTCCTGCCCCATTGGGAAGGGAACAGGACGGGCCTTTTGAGAATCGATCCCCTCAAGAATCAGTTCCACTCCCCTTTGTTCTCCGGAGTCCAGACGCTGGGCCTCACGCCCCACGCCCCAGCGCCGTGGGACCGTCAACCCCCGCCCTCCAACGTGCCGGCGGTGAGTCCTGCCCATTCCTCCAAAGCAGGGAGGGGTCACGGCGATCCTTCCTGCTCCGGACGGAATCCAGGGGCGCGTCTCCGCTGCCCCAGAGCCCCCAGCTCCTCCTGCCGCCCTCCTCACTGCATGGGGATGTAGGGCCAGTTGAAGCTAGATCCCGACAGCAGCATGTCTCGGATTAAGGTCTCGATGGGCGTCTTGCCCACCAGGCGGACGAAGAACAGCTGCTCGATGACGGGCGCGGAGACGATGCGCAGGGAGGGCATGCGGAGTAGCAGCCGGCCAAAGCGGCTGGGCTGGTTGGGGTACTGGTTCCGGACGTACTCCTCCAGGGCGCACTGCGACTTCTCCTGGATGCTCTCCACGGGGCCCAGATCCGAGAGGCCTACTGCATCTGCAAGGAGAGCAAGGGAGGAGGGTGGGTGAGGGAACATGGCGCAGCCTGTCCGTACAGTTCTGCAGGGCATGGTCAGGGTTAATCTGTGGAACTCCCTGCCGCAGGTCACAGTTGGGGCTAACTTGTAGGACTCCTTGGCACAGTAAAGGTTAACCTGTGGGTCTCCCTGGCACAGCCAATTAACCTGCGGGACTCCCTGGCCCTGGGGATCAAATCAATGACCAGAAGCTTGTTAGGCACATTACAGGCTGATCAAACAGACACGGTGCTTCCCTCCAAGGAGTTCCCAACCCAGTTATGCACGTGATGCAACAAGTGAGTAACAAACAACAGAGAGGGACTGGATGTGGAGAGACAAGAGACCCTGGGAAACTGAGGCACTGATCAGTCAATTGACTGTCACAAGATCACAGGTGGAAATAGAACCCAGAGAGACCTGAATCTCAGTGCCTCTTGTTCTAGCCACCTGACTGTTCTCCCTCCCAGGAGCCCTGCCTCCCACTCCCCAATTTTAGCTGCACGCTTGTTTTGGTAAATGAGCGGGTTTTACAGTTTGTATAATTCCTGAACCAAACCACTAGCCACCTGGGCTCGTTAGAGTTCCGTGACCTTCGGCCGAGTAAGGGAGTTTGCGTCAGAGTCCTGTTTAAACTGCAATAGGCTACATAATGCCCTGCCAAAAGTCCCGCCCCCCAGCGTCAGCTGGATACCAGCGCTAAGTGAAAGGTTCTAAATGAAAACTCTTTGGGAGCATAAAAATGGCCATTTTTGCAATAACGAAATCCATGGCTAGAGACTCTCAGCTTTTCTTTCTCTGTGGCCCGTTTTTACCAAAATCATTCTCAAAAGCCGGATTTTTTCATAAAGGAAAATCTTCAATCGTGATTTCAATTGTTAAACAATCCTGGGAAAAGAAAGGGGTCCGTTTCGAACCCGGCCCAAAGGAAACAACTGGCACTTCGGTTCGACGTTTTCAACCCGCTGTGCTACATACGCTAGTTTTCCCTTCCAGGCCTAAAATGTGTGTAGTGTTTTTGTGCGCTGTTCCAAAGCTGCCGCGTCCCACCCCAGCAGTGGCTGCATCGTAGCAGCGATTGCTGCTGTTTCCCCAGGGCTTTTCGAGACCCTTTGGGATGGAAGGTGCCGATAAACATCTCCGTGAGCAAAGAGAAGCGAGCGTTCCATTCCTCGCCCTTCCAAACCCCTTCGCCCAGTGCAGCCTTGTCCCCAATCCCCAGGAGGCTAGATTCACAAACTCCTCCCTGCCTTGCCCTCTACCCAGCGGCCTATTCTCTATAGAGCAACGCTCACCCCCGGGCTCCTTCCAAACACATCTCTCCAGCCCCAGCCATTCATCCTCGAAGTGGGAGCGGTTCCCCTAGGGCCCGGTGTGCGAGGAGCAGGGTGAAGGTCGGTGTTTCCCAGCCTGCAATAAAGGCCCAGCCGAGTTTGCTCAATTCACGGCCTGAATTGAGGCAAAGGAGAAGGGGCTCCTTTCACAGCCCTGAATGAGCTCTCGCCATTCAGTCGGGGGCCGTGACCACCATTGACAGCTCTGAAAGGGGGCTCGGAGCTAACACATTCACACCCGCAGCCTTTCAAACGCGGCCCAGCTATTACACAGACATTTAGCCCGGGCTGAAAGAATGGATCCAACGCTACCAACAATAGCCGGCTCCTAAAAACTCTCATCATGCCACCCTTCCTCCAAAGGCCACCAAGGGGCTGGGCAGCTGGGGTGCCCCTGGGAGGTGCAATGGGGGAGAGGGGACGGGCTGTTTGTGCCTCACTCCCTTGGCTGCCCTAGGGGTGTCTTGCAAAAACCTCCCCAGTGTTGCGGCTTCGTTGTTATTATGGCAGGTCCTAGAGATCCCAGCTGAGATCAGGGCCCCGCGGTGCTGGGCACTGCACATCCAGCCTCTGCGCTGCAGAGCTTAGTCTCAATAGACAAGACCGACCAAACGTGGGAGCGGAACTGAGATTGTGGCCCCATCGTGCCAGGTGCTGTACATACACGTAGCAAGAGACAGACCCTACCCCCAAGAACTTGTCAGCGAAATTGACCAAAGAGTGGTTGGGGAAACTGAGGCAGAAAGGGGCAATGTGACTTACCCAAGATCACACAGCAGGTCAGTGGCAGAGCCAGGAATAAAAGCTAGGTCTCGTGAGAGCCCCGCCAGACCTTAGCCACTAGTCCACGCTGCCTCCCTCTTACTGGGGTGAGCAACCGGGTTACTGATGCCGTTTGGCTCTGCCGATGCGCCTTAGTCCTGTTCCGCGTCCCGCCCTCCTTCCCCCCAGAGCTCTGCTGATGGCCCTTAGTCCTCCTCCTATTCCAGGCCTAGGACCCATCCTCCCCACAGTTCTGCCCATGCACATCACTCCTGACCCATCCTGCTCTACCAGTCATGATGCCCGATGCCCCTCAATTGCAACGTGCAGCCCACCTGCTATTCCAGCCCTAGTCCCCCCCAGCTTGGCTGATGCCCCCCAGCCCTGACCTGCTTGCTCTTCTCTTCCAGGGCTCTCCGACTCTAGCACAGAGACAGTCGGTCCGATGGACTGGCAGCAACGGGTTTACAAAGGGGGGGAGCAGGAACTGCTGTGATCCCCAAGTTTGCCGGCCCCGAGATGTAAAAAAATAAATAAATCTGAGGCTCTTTTTCAATTTCCCTTCCGCTGGGAGTGACGTTTTCAAGCTTGTCTGTGCTCCCACAAGGGCTAGAAACTTTGTGGTTTAGGTAATTGAAAGCCGAGATTTACACATCGTCACATGACTCCAGGAGCGGGGGCTTGAAAAAAACCAGATGACATAGCAGGAGACTCGCGATAAAACCACAAGAGCTAGCAGCACTGGAGGAGACCTCATTGTGTGTGTGTCGGGGAGGGGGGTGTCCCAGAAAATGAATCCCACACTAGGACTTGCTTGACAGTGAAAATGTATTTGGTGGGGAAGCCCGGGAAATTTCCCTTCTATAAACCGGTCCACTTGCTGGCTCTAAATGGTCAGGGGAATTCACTTGAGTGGAGTAAGACCGGCTGGCTCAGGGGATGGAGAAAGGGGTACATGCAGCCTGGCCCAGATGGGGTTGAGACCAAATGTCACTGGTCAGTGGCCTGGAAACTGAGTTCTCTTCTCGGCTCGTCTGCCGGTCAGGGCTGGCAACATGCCGGGGCAGAGGGCGGTATACAGCTGCTGCGGTAGCTTGCCCTGCCGCACGCATTGCCTCGACCAGAAAAAGGGGTTGATTCTCCGTGGGCCCTGGGTGGTGCTATCTAACGGGCTGGCACTTGGCCCTAAGGTGACCAGACAGCAAATGTGAAAAATCGGGACAGGAGGTGGGGGGTAATAGGAGCCTATATAAGAAAAAGACCCAAAAATCGGGACTGTCCCTATAAAATTGGGACATCTGGTCACCCTACTTGGCCCTGATGTGAGTGGCTGTGCATAGCGTGGGGCAAATGGCGAATCGGATCAGGCTGTGTACAGAAAACACAGGAGATGGGATCTGTGAAGTGGAACACAGACGGACCACGGAGAGTTGCCTGGGGCAGCAAAACGCATGGTCACTCAGGCTGGGAGGCAGAGGCCAGTAAAGGCAGTGTGGTCTAGTGGTGAGGGAGGTGGTCTAGGAGACCTGGGTGCTATTGCTGGTTTTGCTGGGTGGCCTTGGGCAAATCATTTCTCCACCCCCTCCGGTGAGGTTATCAGCTCTTTGAGGCAGGACCTTTTACGAGGCATGGTACAACACCTAGCGCCATGGGGCCGCAAGATCAGCTGGGGCCTCTGGGTGCTAGTGTAATAATTGGCCCCTGGGAAGCCGGCATCAAAGGATGACGGGCCCCCCTATGACGCGAACCTGCCCATATTCTACACTGAGATCAGCCTGATGGATGCCATTTGATGTAGGTGCTCCAAAGTCGGAGCCCCTCTCTAGCTGCCTTCCCGGGCAATCGCCATGGGGGCCGTGCGGTCAGGCACGGTGTGATCCCTCGCGTAAGGGGCACACGCGTGGCTATTCCCGGATGGAGGGGCAACCCTGCCAGCCTTGAGCTGCAGCTCTCACGGCTTCACCAGGCCTCTCGCGACAGCAGCTGGTTGTCCTTAAAGCGCCAGCTCCCGGCATCAGGGGATGATGGGAGAATCTCAGCTTTCATTCTCTCTTCTGCTTTTTAATGATTATTTTTTAAGTACCTTTCTCGCCCCGCCGGTTGCAGTTAGAAGCTGGAAAACGCGAAGCCCACATTTGCTATTGAAAAGGAAATCACCTCCAGGGAGAGAAAAGCGGGGAGGGGTGAGGGGGAAAATGTTCATTTCTGTTTTTTTCTTTGCGGGTTTTTGACTTCCCTGATTCAATGAACCTCCTTAGGGTCAGTCTGGTTTTAATCAGCTTTGCTTTCTCCTGATCTCGCAAAATGCTGGCGATCTGTCAGGTTTCCAGCACTGCAAGAGAATTGTATAAAAACCCTTGTGGTTTTTGAGCCAATCTTGTGATTTAGGCAGAGGGGGCCTGGACTCAAGATTTCCAGTGACTCCTACCTGTCAGTAATAGAACAGGCCTACAGGTCACTAATCCACCCAGGCATTCCCTGGCCAGTAAAATATTGTCCCTTCCTGACTAGGATCAGTTGCGGGATTTTAGCCTTAATTGAGAAGGGCTGATTCTTCAGCGGGTTTCCGCTCTAAAACCCCATCCGCCGGTGATCGGGGGTCAAGCTATCCGCCGACTGGAATGCCGCAGCAGCGTAACCGCTGACTCTTGGAAACGCAGGCCTGAACTGAGTGCAAATGTCTAGACTTTTTGAAGGACATCTGCTCTCAGATTAATTTCCCTGTGTGGTTAGGAATACCAGACTTGCCAGGAGGTGAACAGACTATTCATCTATTGATCCTGGGTTTTGCCAGACCGGAACAAATGTCTAAACTATCCAGTCTGCGGGTCACCTGCCTACCGTGTCCTCAGAGACTTATGCTCCAGCCCTGTCCTGCTGGAATAGCCCAATAACCCGTTCATATTTCTCCACCTACAGCCAATGCTGGATGACCCAATCTAATTATATGCCTCGCTGTGTAGTTCAGTACAAAGGGAGTGAATGCCAGATTCCACCCGGACCCCAGCTAGGACTTCCATGTGGATTTTCCCGCACCAGAGTGAGCATGGAAAATCAGAACAAGGAAACACCCCCACCCATCATTGCCCTCTTGTGCTGCTGTGCGTGGTGGCTTTTTCTAACGACTGCTCTTCTTTGCACACCAACTCCTGGTTCTCCTGTGCAGCGTTGCGGTGAAGTCAGACCCCCACAGTGCTTGTGACATCACAACCTACTGCCCCGGCAGCGGCGGATGTCACAAGTCCAACACAATGACTTTGCTGCAGGCACCCCACATTGCAAACCTCCGATTTCAAGGAGAGCCACACAGCAAAGAGGAAACCAGAGCTAAGCCCCGGATTCCTGTGTGGACTGAGGCCCCTGAGAAAACATTCAGCAGTGCAAAGTGAGCGGGAGATGCTCCCAGATCCGAACGGCAGTGGGCTGCATTCACTGTGCATCGGTCTAAATAACTGAGCAAGGTGCAGGGCAAATAGAGAATGCCCAAAATCTCCATGCAAGCCATGGTATTATCTGTTTTCCCGGCCCATGAAAATTTTTGCACTATTAACAAAAAATCTCCCACCCTGAATCAGGATGTAAAATCGAAATCTCAAAAATTTTCGCAAATCAAAAATATGGGGGGGGAAAAATTGGGTCAGGTCGCTGTGAAACATTTTGCTTTGATCATTTTGAAACGTTTTATTTCAACGTCAACCTTTTGATTAAAACACCCCATTTTTTTAGTCTAAATTTACCAACATTTCAAAACAAACAATTGTTTCGTCTCGGGAAACGGACTCTTTTTTGGTTTTGCAAATGTCAGAAATGAAACATTTTGACAATCTCATAACTTTCTTTCCCCCGTAATTGTTCGAGTTGGGAGGTTCATCGAAACTGACCCCGTTTTGAGAACAATTTGGGTTTGGGCGAATTTTCAGCAAAAAAATTGCGGGTCTCAAAATTCCGCCTGATGAATGTTAATTAAGCCAGAAACTACCAAGAGCCAGATTTTCAAACACACTCAGCCACCAGCAACGCCTATTGAGAATTATAATTCAGTAGTTTCCATAGAGAGCAATGCAAGCTACGGGGTGCTCTGCACGGTCTTGGAAATCTGGCCCCTTTGTTGGTGTTTAGGTGCCTACATGAGAGCTGCTGGATGTTAAATTCTTCTGAAAATCTGGAGGAAGGATTGAGAGAAATGAACTAAATCTGATTTCACTGTTGGATGCCGCTCCTGGCCTGATCCATGGAGATGGGACTCTGAACACACAAATCAGGGTTTAACTTTAAAAAAAAATTTTTTTTGCTTTGAAGTTCACCTTCAGAAAGACCTTTTAAACCTCCTGTGTTCAAAAACCATGAGTCAGATCCCGCCCCCCTCATCATGCGATTGACTTTAAAATGATAAAAAAAAAATTAAAGAGAATTCATTTGGGTTTCTTTGCATTCACCATCTGTGCTTTTGTTTTTGTATTTTGGGGCTTTTTACCCTCATGGTTTTCAAGCTTTTTTTCTGCTACGACAAAAGAAAAGCACAGAAAGAATGAAGCTCAGAGTCTCACATAGTCACATGAATCCAGGAGCTGGGGCTTTAAGAAAACTAGCAAACATCATGAGATTCACGATAAAATCATGAGCATTGGCAATACCGCACTGTCAATTTAGTTCCGACCTTCCCAAATTAGGTTTTTGTTTTAAAAAGGAGGCGTTTTAACAAAACCCGATATTAATGGAAACATTTCATGACTTTTTTTTATGCAATTCTCTTGTGATGTTGAAAACCCTGAAGAGCACCAGCATTTTGCTCTAGCAGGCGAAAGTGAAACTGACAAAAAAAAAAAAAAGCAGAACGTGAAACAAATGAGGTGAAGGTCACCAGCCAAGTAAAATCCTGACACTGAAAACAGAAATGAACATTTTTTCCGCCTTCCCTGCCGCCCCCCGCCCCTTCTCTCCCTGGAGGCGAAGGGACAGAGGAAACACACCTCAAAACCAATAGGATTTGGCTCCCATTGAGAAAATGTCAAACGAGGTGGAAAATTGGGGCCGAAAGCCACAATGAAAGATTTGTAACCAGCCCTAAGGATGGGGAGGAGGCAACTACAAACAGGAGACAGACCTTCCCCGTCCCCCAACACAACTCACCTGGAATGCACAAGGCCACGGCTTTCAAAGACACCAGTCACCTGCTCTAGTCCCGCCCCTTGCTGCAACTCACCTGGTGCGAACAAGGGGAGGGGCTTGAGACAGGAATCACCAATGGGGGGGGGGGGAGAGATCTGCCCCAGCCCGCCCCTAAGCGCCACTCACCTGGCGTGAACAGAGCGATGGCCTTGAGGCAGGAGTACTCCGCCGAGTCGACGTGCAGAGCCTTGAGCTTTTCCACCTGCTCCTGGAAGACCCGGATGTGGTCCATGAAGGCCACCACCCGGTCGGCCGACATGGGTGAGGCGTGGAGGCCAGCGGCCGCCAGCAGCGGGGCCACATGCAGCGGCATGGAGCACTGGGCGGCGTTGAGCACGAAGAGCTCACTCCAGGTCATGCGCAGCAGGGACACCTGGTCAGAGAGCTGGAAGTCAGGGAAGAAGGGGATGTTCTTGGCCCACTCAATGGCGCTGAAGAGCAGGCGGGCAGCCAGCTCGCAGATGTTCTCGATGCCCATGATGTTGGACTGCAGGCACTGGGCCCCGTAGCGGGAGGTTGGATAGGGCTCGGCCCGCAGCAGCAGGGAGATGAAGCCGGTCAGGTAGGAGTGGCCATTGTACGGGTCTCCGTTGTTCAGCAGGTACTGGCCCGGGCTGGTCTGCGTGTGGGCCATGCGTCCCCGTTGCACGGCTGCGGTGAGTGGGAGAGAAGAGAAGAGACAGGATCACCATAAGAACAGCTGCAGGGAAAGCCGGGGGCTAGCAGAGGTGCTCTGGCTCTGTCGGGAACCGCCTGGCCTGAGACTCGGGTAACTTGGTTCTAATCCCAGTCCTACCCTTGATCTGAACCAGATCATCTTCCCGTCTCCGGGGACTTGCAAGACACCCAGGCTGCAATGACGCCCCATCAAAGCTTGCGATTAGAATTGGGCCTTGTGACTGCAAATTGCTTCTCCGCTCTGTGCCTCTGTTTTCCTCACCCACCCTTTGACCACCTGGCCTATTTGGATCAGAAGCTCTTTGGGGGCAGAAGCGTCTAGCTGGGATTCTGATCTTGGCCGGGGCCTCTACTCTCATACCAAGAAAGAAAGAAAGACTCACTGGGTTGCAGGGGAATGAAATGGGCGTGAACAAAGAGCGACTGGGGGAGGGAGCCGAGATGCAGATGACACTTAGGGCAGGGCTGGCTGGAAAGCAAGGCGAGGGACTCAGAACTTGGTCTCCCACATCTCCGATGAGCTTCCTCCCCACCTGGCTACGTGGGGTGGGTCACTCTCTTGGAATTTTCCGTATTTAATCCCCCACCCCAAAAAATAATAATCAGAAAATGGGAGGCGGGGCAAAAGAACAGCAAGGTAAAGGACTGGGCAGTGACGGGGAGGGGGCAGGGAGAGGGAAGGCGAGTGACCTCTTGGTTTCCATTTACGAGGGATCAACCAAAGCTTCTGAAAAAGTCAGAGAAAATCTTCTCCGCTTTGTCCGAGGTCTCTTTTCTCCAGCATGTTCCCCGCTTTTTAGCTGCGGGGTCGGCCGAGTCGCAGCGCCAAGCATCTGTCCCTAGAAGCAATGGGCTTTTCCTCCCTCAGCATTTCCCGATGAGAATCGTTTGGTCGGGAAGTTCCCAACCAGCTCTGGTTTAGGATTCGGGTCTGAGGCTGAACTGGGAGTTGGGTTCAGTGGGGAAGCTTGTGAGATTTGGGCCCAAGCTGCCAAGGGCAGGTAATAATGAGGTGGCTGAAACCCTGTATAATCAGAGGCCTGTTCCTACAACCTTTGCCATGTCTCAGGCGTACGTGTCGTGAGATTTCAGCGACCTCTGAATCCTCTGTGCCCTGAGGGGTGAGATTTAATCACCCTGGCACAGGTACAACACGTCTTTCTGAAACAGGCCAGGCCTCCGATCAAAAGAGAACGGAGTCAGGGAGGAATCAACCCATTAAAAGGAACTAATCAATCATATGAGTCTAGAGAAAAGAAAAGAAGGTCACAAAGATGGTAAGAACCACAGTGGGGGGAAAAATCTGACTGCTGAGGTGGGTAGATTTATACCTGGTTTAGATGGTGTTAAATTTATAAGGGCTATAAACTCTCCTGCTTCAGGGCGTGAGCTAGCCACTCCCTGATGAGGTCAGGAAGGAACTTCCTCCAGGAGTAGGTTATTCCACCGGTGTCCACTAGGGGGTGTCCTCTGAGGCACCTAGCCCCAGACGCTTTCGGGGACAGGTTACCAGACAAGAGGGACTCTGGATTCCTGTGTTTAAGGCCTGAGTTTTTTCAAGGGTGCTGAGCACGCACAGTCCCTGCCGAGGCCTCTGGGACCGGCAGGTGCCGTTGCCGTAAACGTGGCCATTGATCTTTATTGCCCAAGCTCTGAGTTCAGGGCACCATCGCAGTCTGGCATTCCCTGCTGCCGCCCCTAGGAAAATGAGAAAGGCCGAGTCTGTTCACAGCAGTGTACCTCTGTGGGCTTCCCTGGAGTGGCTCCAGATTGACACCGGCCTCGGGGGAGAGCCGGGTCCAGACTGGGGTGTTAATTAGAAAAGCAAAAAGCAAATCTTGTCTGATTAGGAACGCAGGCGTTGCCACACTGCGTCAGACCCGAGGTCCATCTAGCCCAGTGATCTGTCTCCCACAGTGCCCAGCGCCAGCTGCTTTAGAGGAAGGTGTAGACCCCTGTAGAAAATCTGCCCCCAGGAAGGTCTCATCCTGATTCTTAATTTGAGCTTCATATGAACCTTGAAGCCTGGGGTTTAATTATTATTATTATCATCCCTAGCTGTTACACAGCACTTTTCATCCATAGGTCTCAAAGCGCTTCACAAAGGAGGGTCAATAGCATCATTCCCATTTTACAGATGGGGAAACTGAGGCACCGAGCAAGACAGTGACATGCCCACCCTCACCCACCCAGGCCAGTTTCAGAGCTAGGAACAGAACCCAGTACTGCTGAGGGCCCCGTTTTCCATATACTCAGCCACACTGCCTTCTAGATGGTTTGCTAGCAATAAACATTTCAAACTCGGATTCTCCGCTGCCCTGCACCTTGTGCTGTCATTGCCGCTGGTTCAAAGTGCTACCACACCAGAATGGCAGAGTTTCACACCGGCGTTGCACTAGCATAAATGACTGCACAAGGTGCGGGGCAAATGGAGAACCAGGCTCCTTCTACGGGAGAAAAAAAAATCTTTTGTTGACTAAGCCCTGAGATGATTCAGACTGAAAGAACTTTTAAAATTAAATTTACTTTTCACCATTGATCCTGTTTTATTTGCTGGCATTTCTCCCAGCTCTCACAGGAACATTATACCGTGGGGGGGGGGGGGGAAATCTGGCTATGGAACAAACTCCCTGGGGAAATCAGTCAAATCCAGAGGCTGACTGTCTTAGTGCTTCCTCTTCACACTTGCAACACTGACACCCCCTCTACCCTTGAACCCCAACACAGACTTCCCATCTACCCCCTAATACTGACACCCAGTCTGTCCCTGACTCCCAATGCAGATACTCCATCTACCCCTGAACCAACAATGACACCCTGTCTGCACCCAAACACCTACAAACCAAAACAAAAAGAGGAAATTTAATAAATCTAAAAAAACCCAACCCCTAAAAGCACCCTGCCCCAAGCAGAGTTTTGACCCCTAAAAGGGAAAAGTGCCAGAGACGCCATGAAATCCACTAGGGATTTTGCTCTTGCTCTTGATTTTAAATGGAATGTGCCCAGATGTTGCGATGATGAGTGGCAGTGTAAAACTCTGAGCTAGATAGAGTGACACTGGTCAATTTCACTTGTTTGTTACTAGTCGGTTTCACTCTCAAATGCCCCTGCAGTAGCCCAAGGATCTTGGCTTTGCGATTCCAGCTAGAGCTGTGTATGACAGGTCTTTTGGTTTGCTGGCAGGTCTGAAAAGTTGGGGGGGAGGGGAATTGTTTTCGGTGGACACGCAAATGAAATTTTTCAGCATTTTCAGAAAATCGGAAAAAAATATTTTCAGGTTGAACAAAGTGTTTCGTTTGACCCGAACCAAAACGTTTCCTTTCGACTTCCACCTTTTTAAAAATGATTTTGCCTTTTTAAGTAAAAATCTGAAAAATGGAAATGTGGCATTACCAAAATGTCAAAACATGAAACCACAAATGTTCACCATTTTGTTTTAACCAAAACAACTCAACGCTATTGACACAAACCCGTGAATCGGTCGACCAAACTCTGCCCTGGGCAGTCAAAAAATGTTTCAGAGGCATAGTCTCACCCAACTGTATTTCCAGCACGGCAAGGGAAGGGTCTGAATTAAAAACCTGTTTGGGCTGAAATGAAAACCCAGCCAGTACTCTGAGTGCGTAAGCAGATCAAGTTTTGTAAATCTTTCCCCCTCGTCTCCTATATGCTGGGCCTGTTCCCTTGCTTCTGAATCACAGTTTTGGTGGGGAAACGGGGGGGTGGAGGGGGCACTGTTAAGAAATGGAAGAGACACAGGAACCCAAGGGCATAGCCGGTGACGTTAAGTGTATTGCGTTCCATGGAGCTGCAAAATTTGGATTTGGGCCCAATGCAGGATTCAGCTCATTTGGGGGGGCTTCTGTTATTTGCTTTGCATCTTAAACCCGCAATCAGCGGTTGTTGGCTAGGACCAGAGTCGGGAAGTCCTGACTCTCCAGTGCCCTGCACCCTGTGCAAATGTTTACATCAGTGCATGCAAAGTGGGGTAAAAAGCTATTGTTCTGGTTTAGTAGCTCCTTTGCGCCAGTGACGCTGACCACACGGGACACAGGGCTAAGGAGAACCAGGTTCAAGCGATTCTGTGCTTGGTATTGGTAAAGAATCCAGGAGGCTCCCGCAGGTAGCAAACCCAGGTTCAGCGCCACTTCCGGAGCCAGACTCCGATCTCAGTAACGCCAGGGTAAATGGGGAGTGAGTCCACTGAAGTCAGTGGCGTCTCTGCTTTGCAAAACCGGTGTAAACAGGATCAGAATCAGGCCCTTTTTGTTCCCCTTGAATTCGGACTCTAAAATGGGACCTTCCCTCCCAGACAAAGACGAAACCGACTAAAATAAAATGACCTGCCAGTCGGGAGGGGGAGGTTCTGCAATGGAGGGGTGGGGGAGGCTGATCCTGGGAACACTTATTACTCTTGGGAGTGAGGGCTTTGCAGCATCAGGTTCTGAGTCCCCGTTTCCCTTGCAGCCCAAAGGCGCTTCCCATTGGTGGAATGAGTTTGCTGGGTCTCAGGCTCTAACCTACCTCACTGGCAGCCCCAGCAGGGAGGCCAAGGGCTGCCTGGGCCGTGGAGGCTGAACCCCCCTCTCACCCCAGAGGCAGGGTCAAGGCCTTGTACGCGGGAAGCTCACCCTGCCGCTTCCCCAGCTGTGCAGAGAGAGGACTCGGGGGTCCTGGGGTTTGTCAATTGGCGCTAGCATTGGCCGTCATCTCAGGGCCAATTGCCCCGAGGACGCATCCGGGTGGGCAGGGGAGAGCAGGGTCTCCCGTGCTATGAGAGGAACATTGATCCCAGCTGGGCAGCCCGGAGGCATCTGAGTGCCCCACCCAACGCAGTCCGTGGGGACACCATGAGGCAGAACGTGGCATATGGAGAGTATTTAACGCGAGGCGTTAGCCGCTGCTCTCCTCGCTGGATGGCACAGTTCTAAAGCCAGGGGTCTTCTGTCTTAGTTCCCCACATCCCTGTAACT